GGGCAGCGTTAGTAGGGGAGAGCTTGCAAAATATCTGCTACTTTTGCAAGCTGTTTTTAGATATACCCACAATGACAAAATGCATTATTAAATGCATGCATGTTTTCATTCTGGTTATATCTACTATAGATATAGAGTGATTTTATTTTTTTTGTATTTGTGCAGTGGAGTGTCCCTTTAAAGAGTGTGACAAACTCCCCTTTTCCTGTGAGTTTGCCACGAGAGTTTGGAGGGGCTTGGTTGCCAGCCTCTTGCCCCAGGACTATGGCTCATGTATTAGACCTGGCTTCAGCACTGTGGACAGGCTTTGTTCATGCCTTGGCCCCACTGCGGTTCGGTACATGGGGCTACCAAATGGATTCTACTTATGGTGTTCGTTTACCGAACAAACAACCAAACAGTCGGGCCACACACAAGTGGAGTGTGTAGCCCATTTACCCCCCATGCTGGGAGTTAACAAGCGCTTAATTGACGAACGTCTGGGTGGTCGCCGTTCGTATAGTCGAACACGTGGCGGTGGCCATCTTGTTTAATTGAATGCGGTCCGCTGTGTTTTGCTGTCGAGTTCATGCAACTAAAATTGGACACTCGACACCACAAACATCGCTGGGACTTCCACCTCCATCTATGGTCGGCTAAATATGCACGATTAGAACGCTTTTCGGTAGATATAATCTACCGAACACACTTCAACCCTGCATTTGTGCACAAACGGTCTCGTTCGACTATTTGAAATGCACTTTTATAATTGGAAATAGACCGGCCGCACAGCCTAATTCTCTGGAACTATTTTGGGCATGATGCCATGCTTGCGACCGGTCAAAAAGAGACTTCCATGAAACTTTTGAACCCCTGCTCTGATCTTGGTGATTTTTGGATATGTTGTTCACCCAGATCAGGGCTATCTGGGGATGTAACAGTGTAACATGTTTTGGGGTACTTTCTGAATTTTGTGAAAATGTGGGTTTTCTGCATGGAGATAATTGAGTTACTTACAGGACTTTACTCAATTATCTCCCAACCAGAGGGGAGGGATTGTGTGCTGTACATGGGCGTGTCACAGACTGTATGTTTGTTATGATTGGTTTGTGTCCTCTGGCCTGAAGAATTGTATAAAAGCCAACCTGAACCATTAAAGCTCAGATCTTGCACCTTCATGAACTTTCAGCTCATGTTTGGGAGGATTGGAGAACTACACTCTGGGGGATTGTTATAATCACTATACTCCCCTGAGTATAATCACTAAGCTCTTGTAAGAGCTTGTTTCTGCTTCGCTCTTGGGACTAAGAGAGGCCTACCCACTGGAAGCTGGATCCTGGTCTTGGGTCCAGGGCGGGTGGAGGACGGCGAGACGCCAACCAAGCTGCGGCGGTTTGTGGGGTTTGCGGTGGTTATGGTGCTTCAGAGCAGTGCTTATGGTACTCGTCAGTACTATGAAGCAGCGATTGGCGGAGGAACTCGGTCGGAGTGCCAGGCGGTCCGTCACAAAGAGAATCTGTAGTTGAAACGTAAACTTTACTCTGAACTTTTCCTGTATAATTACCGAAAATGTATATTGTTTCACTGGCCTTCAATGGAACTTGTTACAGCTGTAGCATATTCCTAATGGTTCCATCACTAACATAAATTCACATTAGCCTCTTCACCGGACTGTCTCTGTGTGGGAAGCCACGCGTTGGAACTCATTGAAGCAGGTTCCGAGGACAGTCTGAGAACCATCTTCGTCAATAAGCAAAACTGTTGTTTCTTGGGTACAGAAAATCCACGGATAATTCATCAGCACCAATTGCACTCTACCAAATGCACTGTCTAGTGTGGGGTGACCTTGCAGGAAGTTATCGGATAGAACTTTGAGCGCTAGAGCCTCAAACGTTATCTAAAGTTATGAACAATGCAATCAAAAGAGCCAGACTTTGCAAAGTGGAAAATGGAGCTCATTTCCGCAATCAGCAAATGAGAGCGCTTACTGGATTCAACAATTCAAAAAAGTATATTCAATTTTGGCAAAAATGATAAACATTTCGACCTTACGGTCTTTAGACAAAGGTCAAAACATTGATAATTTTTTGCCAATATTTTATACACTTACTTGAATTGTCGAATCCAGCGAGTGCTTTCATTTTTGTGATTGGGATATATTTTCTGTGCTGTGCAGCACCTTGGTATTTGCAGATATATTTTTTGTTTATTCAGGAAGAGTGCCAGACACACTGAGTATTGTTGCTATATATCAACTACTATTCTTCTCTACTGTTAATGGTCTGGCGATCTGCATGATCCTCCCTCCCCTCCCTTTATGCAATCTATAACTAATACACCCAGAAGGGTGGGCTCTCTTTTATTTTCAGGCCTACCACATCGTTGGTTCTGGCACACCACATCCGACTTTTACTATATATATGTTACGTTAATTTTACTTTGCTTTCAAATACTAGTAATGACCTTTGTGCACAAATATATATACATATTTTATCAAGGGGCCTATTCTACGAACATGGGCCTGAAGCTGCAGCCCCATTAGCCCTATGTTTTCCCCTTTATATTTATAGCCTCGACATAGCGTCTTAAAGATTCCGTCTAGCATCCCATCAGTGCTTCAAATCTCACACCAGATTCTCTAAACAACCATGAACTGTTTCTTTCCATAGCAGAGCCATCATCAGAAGGGTACAGCAGATGTAGCTGTATGGGGCCCAGGCCGCACTGGGTTTGGGCCACACATTACCAATATGTACATATATTTAGTGATTATTGATATATATATATATATGTGCCACGCAGGCGCCCAGATACCTGTATAGTGAAGAGGGGACCCAGCAAGCACAATCTTCAGTTTCCTGCAGCTCCTCTCTCGGCAATGCTATGAGTGGCAAGTAGATCAGGCTCACAAGAGTTGGAGAGAAGCTCTGAACCAGTGAGTGTAATATACCTCCTCCCTGGCCACAGGTAACAGGCAGAGAGGGGAGATACATTATATTTGATTAAAATAACAAAAAAAGAGTTCTTATACCCCACAGAATACAGCCCCCATATATAAAAACACACACTTCATCCACTACACACACACACTTCATCCACTATACACACACACACTTATACAAACACTCTTCATTCACTATACACACATATATTCTACATCCACTGTAAGTAATGTTTCATTCCAGTTTAGTCTCAATTGAATTCACCCTCATCCTCACTGTCTCACCTTTGTCTCAGTCTCCATCTTCGTACCAATAACCAGTGTCTCCACTTCACTATTTCCAGTTTCTAAATCAGCCCGGAATTATGAGTTGTTGTGTTGTAGTGTATCCATTCGGTTCCTGTATTGTCTCCATATTTACCCTGTATTGATATATGCTGTGGCAGAAATATTTTTTTTTACCATTGTTCGCCTGCAGTTATGGCCCTCATTTGAGTAAGTACTGTGCTGTATTGCAGCTTGTTCTGCAACCATTACCTTCATGGTATCTTCATTTTTGTTTTGTTTATGGTTTTTTTTATTTTTTTTTACTGTTTTATTACAACGTTCAGCCCTATATACATCCTTTAGTAAAAGGTGAACAATTTTAGTTTTTTATACTTTTTGATTGCTTGAGGTGTCTGTAGTTTACATTTTGTAGTAAATATCCCAAATAGTTTACTTGTGAATAGCATCCAGTAGAAAACTCCTTGTCTGGGTGTTGAGTGAGTTAGCCTAAATCACTCAGATTCATGGTTTTAAACCACTTCAGCGCAGCTTCGGCGGTGTGTTTCTGGTCATTAGCTCACTGGAAGATTAACCTTCACTCCAGTCTCAGATACTGAAAACTGAGGTGTTTTTGGCTTCATCCATCTTGCCCTCCATCCTGACCAATTTCAGTATATGTAAGGCCAAAGTAGCTGAAGTAGAAGCAGAGCTAACTTGGTCAACTTTTCCAATTTGGCTATCTTGCCCTTAGATTTGAAATTCACTTTGAATTCCCAACAATTCTCACTTCAGTAACTAACCCTGAGGGACTTTCTGGGAAATTCTATTTTTTTTTCAAACATAACCAACCTAGCAACTGTAGAATTACAGATTTTTTTCAATTCGATGTTTCAACCTAAAAATCTAAATTTCCTGGTTATTTCCATGTGTAATGAATAACCTTGTTAGTTTTACTTCTATAAAATAGGCAATCAATATACCATCCCTTCATGCGCAATCCACTTCTTCATAGTAACGGTTTATGTTAAACATGACAGACAACCATATAATTTCTACTATTACTAGCCATTTGCTAGTCACGTTTACTTCTTTATTGCCTCCTTTTGTTTCATTGTCTCCTTTCTCTCTGTGTGATCCTTTATTTTAAGCATTTATAGGCTTTCAGTTAGGCTGATTGAGAATTATGGAAAATGAGGTTACAAACATCTACAGTGCCACCATTATCTATGTTGGGGGATTTTTCTGGATTAGAATACTGGTAAACATGGTTTGCAAACAACTTCAGTGTAATGGTTCATTAGAATTACATTTGTACCAGTGAATGCATTTTCCTGGATGTTCATATACTTTTCTCCGTCATCCTTTGGAGAGGTCCACAGTAAATACAAACACATCCTACTTCCCTGATGTCATTGACCACCACCTCATTCATACTATTAGTATAGCTTCTTTTTGTTGTTGTTGCTTTCAATGTGTTCTTAATGTCTTAATATCTTGCCAATAATATTGTGTACTTCATATATTTGGTGCGTGCTTTAATTAATTCACTAACTCTTTGAACTACTTATCTTGTTAACCAGCAGGTTCATTCTGAATGGCCATTACACAGTTATCTGGTTCTCAAACACCTAAGCGCACACTTAGGAATTAATGTAAGCTTTGATGCACAAGAAGGCAGTAATTAATTTCACAGGTCTTTTGTTGAGAAAACTAATAATCGTTTTTTCTAAATATTGTAATGTAATTGGGTTGTGGAGTGTATTGTGAGTTTTGCATGATTCGTTTTCATGAAAAAAAGACAGTAATCACAAAATGAGTTGTTATATGCATAACTGACACATTTATTAATGAATTAAGTATTCAAGATCATGGTGCTCCTGGTTAGGATATTAACTCTTTCTCTGCAAGGTGGAAAAACAATTCACGGTGGAACCATATGGTAGTGAAAGAGTTAAGAGATCAAAGAGCCCCGAACTGCACAACCCCACACCCCAAACACTCAGAATTATACATCACAGTTACAAGACACAGCACAGGGCTTGTGGCTAGGACCATACCGTGAGTAGTGGCTACATGGGAGGTATATAACAGGAGGGATATGTGATTGGAAATAAAAATGCCACAGAAACAAAACAGGGGTATTTTCAAATTGTAGCCTACTTTCAATTTAATATTTAATTTTTAAATATAATTTTCATTATATTTCCATGTAATGGAGTCATTTAAAGATCTACTAACAATAGTTGGTCGTGGCATATATGATTCTGCAATGTGTAATAGTCTAATAATGCAGACATGTAAGTAATGAGGCACTCAGCCGCAGGAGAAGGTATCGACTGGCATCATAGCTGCACTGGACTATAACTCCCAGCTGGGTATAGTGGAAGCTGTACTCAGCAGTTAGGGTGCTAGGTGTTGCCTATTCCTAACACAGCTTGTTTTAACAATACTATTGACACAGCAACTTTTCTTTCTAAGATTCTGGACATTAGATAAAGTACAGTTAAATAGCAGATCACTTGTACAAATGATATAGTGGCTCGCTCCCATGCATTGTATATGGACAAAAAAAGTCTCTTTTAAAGGCTACATCATATGTGTCGACCCATAGCTATGCTCAACCTATTATGTGATTACACTTCCCATGATTCTCTGCTAGCCATCCCCAGAAATTGCCAGAGGGCCAAGATTGGACACCCCTGCAGTACGTTAGAAAGCTATCAACTGTTATTAAGCATTGCAGGACAGCCTGAGCATTGCCTGTGCACAACTATTCATATTATCATACATCATGCCCATGGTAAGTAATAAGATAGATATAACCTTGGGTTCAGAGGTGATAGCCAGTATTTATCCAGAGACTTAGTGAGGTTTACATAGATTTATTACATATAAAATCCACTGCGTATTAAATGACAGCATTGAGAAGGAAAGGGATTAACCAGACTAGGTCTCATAATAGCTAGCCTATATTCAAACTAGATCTTGTTTGATATAGATACTGTGAAAATACTTTTAATTAGATTTCAGTCTTCTAATTTTAATATGATAAATTTCATTTCAGAGCACCACAAAGAATTTAGCCAAATCTTACATAGCATTAAGATGTTAACATGAATGAGGTCATTCTACGAATGCTGATGGAGACAATCAGAAAACCACAGTTTGAGAAACTTTACCCTAGAAACTAATAACATTGAAATGTCTCGATCACCACATTCCGCATTTGAATGAAGTATCCTTGAAGATTATAGATTAACATATCTCATACTGGAGTATATACAAACAAATAAAAAATATCAATGTACGCTGTGCGTATAGGTAAACTATGAACATCAAGTTTGTTAAAATTACATCTCCAAATATTACATCGTACATCGCATACATAAAATTAATCCTTGCCAGAATTTCCTGCCAAGCTATAATTCTTATAATAGATACATAAATAAATAAATAGGTTAGACAGCTATTTTGATATATTACTATATGGAAGGCATAGCGACCTGTGAAGAAATGGCCACCTTGTGGTAATGTTGGCTGAAAGACCTGCAACACACTGGAATCAGTGTCCAAACTTTTTACCGTATGTGCGCCAATTTTCTGTGCAACAGGATTGTATCTAAATACTGGAGAAAGGCTTCTTTTGCTGTTTTTTAAAAGAGTTTTAAATAAGGCTTTAAATTTGCTAAGCTGCGGAACTCTGGAATGGAGAGCTCTAGCACGACCTGTGTAGCATTTATGGGCTGACACTGCTAGGTTTAATTATTCATGTCTATACAGATTTTAGCA